TCATTTCATTGGCCCGAAGGCGTGTGAGAACTGCAAGCGGCTTGTGGAGGTGGACCTTATGTGTACTGACATCACTGCCATCTGGAGCTCCACCTTTGCGTATTGTGTTGCCCTAGTCGACATTTGGCTGCCTCCGAAGGTCCAGCGAATCTGTTTCGCTGCAGTAGTGGAATGGAAGGGATCTCGCAATGGCAATTGAGTGTCCGGCTCAATGAGGTCAATTTCGCAGCCAAACACTTCAATGTCAGAGACCGTTGGCAGGAAGCTGACGATGTCATCCTCCAATTGTGAGAGGTCCTCATAGTGTGCTAAGTTTGCAGGCATGTGGTATTCATTGCCCGCAAGCGTAGCCAACACGATGGTATGCGGCTCAATGCAGACCGGTGGTACCCCTTGCTGCTGGCTGTGCGACATGGCTGTGTTGCGTCCTTGAGCCTAGATGCTTTGCTTACGTTAGACGAAATATCAACTCCTCCTGGAAGGGACCACTAGAATGCAGCAGCTGAGGCCAGAACATTCTTCTACCTTTGACTCTTAGAAGGTGGCAAGAAGCTAGGGCCCCCTCTGCGTGCAGCTGTTGCAATCTGTCTACCGGGGACCCCAATACCTAGGTGGAGGCGGAGGGGGAGGTCGATTGCGATTGGGAAAGCGGGCAGTGGAAGAGGAGCTACCTGTACCTACAGGTGGAGCGACCCGCCGAGCTCCTACAGTCTTTTCATATAGCTCACGGCGATGGATTGCAAGTTTCTTGAGAAATATAGGATCCCCTGTGAGCCAGTAACTCATGTTCTGCCATTCCCTCTCACTGCACACGTGATCACCATGCTTTTGATATGGTCGGTCGTCTTCGTGGCAGTTCGGGTAGCCGTGATGGTAGTGGGAATAAAGGTCATCATCGCTCAGTCTAGTGAGCTCTTGCCTCGAGGAGAGGAGGTACCACCCCATCCTGTTCATTGCAACTTCTAACCCGGAGGTTAGCCAATTAGCAATGATTGTGCTTTCCGTTTGTGCATTGCCCTTGGCAAAGTTGTCGGCCGCAGTGGCAAGTCGGGACCATCGGAGGGCAAAATGCCCATGTCCCTGCGGAACTAAATAGGTGGGGTCTGCGTCAGCATCCTCTTCTTCAGTTGACCCTTCTTCCGACAGTTCCTGATTTTCTGCCCCCCCCACAGGCACCGGTTGCGCAAATCTTGGCGAAGGTTTGTTTGTGCCTGTGATGCTTGAATCGGCATCTGACTCACCAGATGGGGGGGTGTCTGGCTTCTATAGGATCGGTCCAGAGAGGGACCTCCACCCGAAGTTTGAGCTGGGGCAAGGCAGGAAATGACATGGACTGACCTATTGAAGGGTCGAGCGCCCGTGAGACATAGGCTCTTTCCGCCCACGGCGTTCGGGGCATTTGTGGCTCGTTATTGTATTGCATCTCTTTCCGGTAGGCGCCCACTGCCAGGAAAGGGTTGTCTGCTGCCCTCCCCTCGTTACTGGGGACAGGGAACTGGAAACTTGGGACAGGAAACTCGGGGGCAGGGACCTGGCGATGGGAACTGGGGGCAGGGAACTGGGACAGGGAACTGGGGACAGGGAATTGGGGGGAGGGAAGTGGGGGCATCAAACTGGGACGGTTTTCTCCAAACTTAACCGAGATGGATGGGTCTTGACCTTCAGCCTAAAAGACCTCCAACAGCATCACATCTGGATGCGCCTGCCAAGAACTCGTTCACGAACCCAGTATGCACTGTAGACCGGAGCACCTGCGCCTGCCTCGCACCAGGGCGGGACCAGTCGCCCCCACCACGCTGCCCCCACCAGAAGGAATCCCGCAAAGGATGCTTTCATTCGTGGGGCATCCAACCCTAGGAAGCATCTCTGGAGTTTATGACGTGTGCAGTTCAAGGGGTCGGCAGCTGTTTTCTCGAAGTTAACCTGCAGAAGTGAAAGGCATCCCTCAAAGGGAGTGGGGGCAAGCAGGTTGGCTGGAACGTTTCCGTTCACTTGCCGGTGAGCTCGGGATAAGATGGATGTCTCCAAACATCGCTGGGGATCACGGCCCGTCCGTATGCTTGAGCCTTAACAAAGCAGCGAGCAGACCAGAGATTGGCCATGTGACAATGGCGATCGTGAGGACTGTGACTGGGGACGGTGACATAGGTAACCGCCCTCCAATCTGGACACTTTGCGTGAGAATAACTGATTCTTCACCCAGGCGGAGCACAAAGGGCAGTTGAGGAGCAGAGTCAATTGTGGTCCCTCCAATGGCACTGACCGAGCACTGCCGCATGCATTCTCACACATCTCAGATGTTAGGCATGTACAAGTGGAAGCAGGTATACACACCATGGGTGAAGCTGCCTGGCAAAGTTGTATGTGCATGCCCTGTGATAATGTGTTCAGTGCGAGAAAGCCACATTTGAAGCGAGGCACTTCGACTGCAAAGCTGAAAACCTCAGAAAACCTCAGAAAACCTTGGGAAACCTCATCGAACATTCTCGCAGGCAGAGTGCGATTGATCTCAACAGATTTCAAAAGCAGTGCACCAATCTCACTGCTTCTTTCGAGGAAAAATAGCAATGCCCAGATCGTGAAGTACTGAGCGTGAAGGATGAATTCGTTGCCCCTCCGTCTCACCTCGTTTCACTCTTCTCCATTGGCTGACGCAGCCAACCTGAGGTACGAACCTTGCACCTTTTTGGGTGGGTTTTGTTTGTTGGTTTTGTTTGTTCTGTTTTTGGTTTTGCTGCTTGGTTCGTATCTCTCTCTTTACTAGCCTAAGGTGACTTGTGCATCCTCTGTGAAAAATGTAGTGCACTGCGGCAGATTCGCTTCGAAAAGACTGAGTACGAAGCAAATCTGACACAAGTTGTCTATACTCCTAGCCCACTTTCGGAATTCCCCTTCAACATTCCCAAAACTTTCAGGGCGTCGGGAGAGGACGCTGGGTTCCTGACACTTGGTTCATCGCACTTCACACTAGCAGCCAACACCTGGACTAGAGTCTATAGCCTTCTCCTTTTAGTGGAGTTAACAACTCTGGCCCGTTTAGAAAGTCTCTGTTCAAGAGCTACCTGATGTTCTTCGTTAGCTGCCTGATAGAGGCGCTTGCGCCAAATCCGAACAATCGGAGGTAGGGGATGTAGCACCTCGGCGCCAGCTGGTACATACCCTGTGAAAGCAGTTTGGGCTGCCAGCTGGGCAAGCAACTGGTCACGCTTGTGCCTGAGAGGGTCACACCGCATCAGGGGCGGGTCAGAGGCTGCAAAGCCAAATTCCGCGCTAAGGTGGTGGTGCAATTCTAGCAGTATTTCATCTGTAGTGCATGGGGCAACCCAAAACCCATCGTGTAACCAGATGGCTGATGTAAAACCAACTGCGGCTCGTAGAAAGGAGTAGGCAACCCACGCTACGTGTTGCTCTAAAACTTCGAAGAAGTGAAACGGAGCGGAGCGGCCAGGCTGTATGCGTGTCTGAGGATGCTCCATGACAAAACGACTAGCCGCGTGGGCTTCATGTGACAAACTGAAAATCAACACTTTTTCAGGCCGATACTTGCAAAGTCTACCCTTCGTTCGGATTCTCGCGGCAGTGAAACTGTTTTGTTTCTGAGAAACAGCTGTCCTAGAGAAACAGCAGTCTCTTTTCAGCAGTTGCACAGTTGCACATGTAACAAAGGAGGTTAAAAGGCTGGGGTCCCATTTCTGAGCAGATACCTGAAAGAGCCCTTTCTATTGGCTGCCTTTCTATTTCCTGGTGTAGCAACGGCTGAAAATAGGGACCACCGACATCGGATGTGCCTGGATTCAGTTCTTGCGTTGCGCTTGGTTCGATTCTTTTTCTCTGCCCTACGACGTGCTTTTCGCCGGACCTTGCAACGTCTCGTTGCGATCCGGACGTGCCGCGTGACGGCGTCCGGCGTCCGAAGGACCGAACGACCGCGGCGGCGGGGGGGGGGTCCCTCCACGCCGAACCGGCGTAGAAGGAGGGATGAAGTCCTTGGAACGGGGGAAGGATCACTCCGACCGATCCGCAAGTGCAAGGCATCACGATCTCAGCCTATTGAAAGGGATGTTGCGAATCAAACGTCCGCGTTTTGTGCCATGGCAAAAATGTGACAGCAAAAAGAACTCCAGAGCAAGGGACCAGAGAAGCATATGAGGCTGTTCTCGCCAGTGGACATGCTGAAAGCACACACACACACACATGTCCAACAGCACAGGACTCTTCTGCACGATTTCGAATTTCCACAGCGCCTTAGACTGGAGCAGCTCCAGTCTCCGCCCCCGAGTTTTGCCATGCATTTTCTATTCTTGGGGCTCTCAAGGAGTCTCATCCTCACTTTGTTGGAGTTTTTGAGTAGCAGGTGGCAGTGAAAATAGGTTGGATTCGTTTGAAGAATAAAAGCAACCCAACTTTGATAGGTTATGCATCTTTCAATCAGGAGGTTTGGTTACAACTTCTTCCCCTCTCAGACCTGAAGACCAAGCATGGACTCACAAACCATGCTTTGGCTCTTGAAGATGGGTTCGGTGACAATCTCTTTGGCGCTTCGGTGGTGGCGCTTTGGTTTCTTTTCGTTTTTCCAGTGCTAGAGTCTACATATTTGGGCTCAAGGCAGAGGAGTCTTTGACATGCAAGAAATAGCTCCCAAGATCCATGCATCCATGCCACTACTCATTCATTGAGACAGCCAGACCATTTCAGAACCTGCAGATGAACATCACGTAGCATCTCAAATCACATGCATGAGACATGTCAAATTGGTCAAACAGTTAGAAACATGGGAATGCCATAATCTGAGGTCTTCACTTGTACAGTAGAACTGACCCATGCGGGCAGTGTGGCCAAGTACAGCGGTCGGTGGTCGGACATGCTTCCAAAGGAAGGTCGTTTCATCCGCGCCACTTTCGTGTCTTCCAACATCCGCACCGGTGGGAGAGGCCACTACGAGACTCAGAAACACTGGGAGGATGCCAAGGTGCACCTTCTACTGGAGCTTGATTTGTGTCTTGGTGATCAGGTTCAAAGATTGAGACTTGCCACTGATGAAGATTCCAAGGGTGTTTCAAAAGAGATGAAAGTGTACGAGACGTTGCAGTTGGGATCTGGTGAGAAGGTGCTGGGCTTTCAGATGCATGAAGTGAAATCCCAGCACAATGGAGGTACTCTATACTTCAATGTCCAAGCAATCTTGCAGAGCAAGGATTGCGTTTGGCTGGAACCACTGTCGCGCGAAGTCTTCCCCATGTCTTATCCCTTTCCAGGACAGCCAAACTCCTTGCGAGGATTGGCATCCGACCAGACTGAAGTGACCAGCTTGCGCGCCTTCCATGGTCGTCAACGGCATCATATTACAGGTCTTAAATACAAATTTGAGATGAACATCGAGTGTGCGACTGGACAAAGCAAAGTCTTCTGGATGGAACTCATGGTATTTGCAGTTGGGTTCTATTATCTTGATGTGGCCACAGACCTTCAGCAGCTGACTCTGTTTTATTCTGAGGGGAAGTTTGATTATTTGGCCTTGAATTGTCTTGGAGTAGGAGTCCCAATGCTGACTACTATGATCGAAGCTGTACAATGGAGCGAAAGCAAAGTGGCTCGACCCCAGTGTGACATGTTTCGACGTCTAGTTCCATCAAGGGGTGTGAGGATTTTGTTGATCCTTTCTTGCGTGCTGACTCAGTGCCACATGCTTGTTTTGGCGGTTGCTTCAGCACTCATGCGCTCGAAGCACGACTTGCTACTCTGCGCAAAGCACGCTGAAGTGGCGGAAGCTATAGTGTCAGCCTGTTTACAGAGCAATTTCTTGCTCTTGATCGTCGTTGGGATCGAGTCTGTCTCACAGCAAGCATTCCGAGCCTTAGGAGTGTCAGTTTTGATTTCCTGTTTGTCCTTAGCCTTCGGGCTCGCTAGCAGAGACAAGCAGGATTCCAGGGTACTACATGTGCCTGGCAAATTGAGCTGGAGCCCAACTCTTGCTGCCTTGATTTTGGTCAGAGCCCTTGAAGTAATGAGCAGGCTTCTGGCCATCAACATCGTGCACTTTTCAACCAGGCTAGCGGTTCCTTTGGGAGGGCCAGCCGCAGTTGTCTTACTTGCAGCATCGGCATGGTACTTCTTTCCAGAAGCAGACAGGTCACAGATTTTTGCTGCCGTGATAGCCCATCCGGGGCAAGTGATGCTTGGATCCCGTTCGATGTTGCCCTTGCGGTGGTCTCTACGAATCCATGTGCTGCTGCCAGTTGTAGCCATTTGCCTTCAAGGAGTCCAGCTGAACAGCAATCTTTTTCCAGAAGCGCAGATCATGTCATGGCCCTGGTTTGCCATGTCTGTTGCGACATGCATCAGCAGCACTTTGGGCTTGCTGGTGCTTCACTCTCTCGGGAATCAGATGGGCCATCCAGTGTTGGAGCAGATTGGCAAGGGGCAGCCTCTCGCGTGTACAATGCTGGCAACAGCAAGTGAAGAATCCGTAGTTCCACTCCCGCTCTTGGCCGCAGCAGAGACCGTGTTGCTCGATTTGGAGGCGCTGAAGAGCCCCAATATCCTGCAAAAGTTGGCCAGTGCTTCCGCAACACAAGTGGTTGTGCCAGCCTCCTCCATGAGGGAGCTTCAGCCGATGCTGCAGAAGCAACTAGAAGAGCTTTCTTGCATCAACGTCATCGACATAGACCTTTCAGAATGCGACTTTGAGTCGCACTGGAGTTCTGTTTGGGATCGTCTGCATTGGCCACTGAAAGTTGCTCGTCGTGTTCGGGGGAAGCATGACAAGAAAGAAGTTGTGGCGATCATAGCCAAGTTGGCCAATTGCAAGCTGCTTGAAGAGTTGGTCTTTGTCGATTGTTACTTTGAATTCTCAGGTCCGGATGCTCTGCAGGAGCAACTCAAAGCTGCCCAGTGGCCCAAGCTACGAAAGGTCTCGTGGATTCACGAGACGTGTCAGCAGGGTCCGGAGGAAACCGCTGAGGAAACAGCTGCAGCCGCTGTCCTGAAGGCCTTGGGGAGGTTTTCCAAGATTGAGGTGCTGAACTTCCAAGGTCTCAGGTGGCTCTCCAACGAAGCTTGGGACCAGCACCTGGTGCAGAATCCTTGGGTGAATCTCCGGTGGGAGCTCTGCAACTTCGGGTGCAACAAAGAGGGTGAGGTGTGCGCACCCCAGCAGCTTCAAAAGATCGAGAAAGTCCATTTCATCTCCCATGTGACGTCCAAGACTTCACAGATGCTCCTCCCCAAATGTCCCATCCACGTGGTGATGAAACAGGGTGACGCGCTGCTGCCGCGCTTGGCGCAAGGTCAGTGTCTCCAGCTGTTGGATGCCGCGGCGGGTGTGCATAGGTGCAGAACGTCGGCAGAGGCTTGGGAGTGCTTGCGCAAGGCTCAATGGCCACACCTGAAAGAGGCCAACCTGAGCTTTTGCTTCCCCCGGAGCGAAGGACAGGGAGCCTCAACGGTACTGAGGCTTATGGTCCAGTGCCGCCAGTTGGTGAACGTGAATCTTTCCAATTGCCAAGGCATTTCCACCGATGCTTGGCATTTGTTGGGCAATGCCGAGTGGCCTGAGCTCAAGATTGCAAACTTTAGCTTTTGCTTTGAGAACGACCCAGCACAGCCAGTGCTGCAGATGTTGGCCCGCTGCCGAAAGCTCACGTCCTTGAAGCTGCTCAGATGTGGAGTGACTGTGGAGCACTTGCGAGCGCTCCCCAAAGGCTGTTGGCCCTGCTTGAGCCCCGAAGCCTGCGCCTTCGACGGAGACCTCGGCCGCTTCGCCGCGGCGCGGGCCATGGCTGCGCCGGGCCCCGAGGGTCTCGACGCCGACGCGGACGCGGTGGCCGTGGACGTCGACGTCGAAGACGTCGACCGGTCGCCGGCGAGGAAGAGTCGACGAGTGCGAAGGGTCCGAAGGAAGAGGAGCACCGTGACCGGCGAACGAGAGAGCTCCAAGGAGAGTGAGATGGTGCCCAGCAGTTCTGCTCAGGTTGAAGGCGAGTCTGAAAGTGACTTGGCATCAACGAGACCAAAGGGGCGAAAACCCAAGAAGAAGGGAGTGGTCAAGGTGAGGCGTGTGCGAAGAAAGGACTCACAGTGATCCTCTTGGGCAGGGCGGAGCTTGCGCGTGCTGCTTGCCGAGCACTTCCGGTTTCGCATCTTTGTGGACTTTCACTTTGGCTTGATTTGAAAGCCGTGGATTTAGCCACAGAAGGATTCGGAGAACAAAAGGAGCTTGTGTCACCAGTAGTAGACCACAATTTTGTTTGTGTCTGACAGAATGCGCTTTCATCAGAATTGCTTCCTATCCTTGAACACGCCGCAACGTTTTGGGCCGAAAAACAGTCACCCCGGATGCTGCTGCTGCCGTGGTGCTTTTCTTTCGGCCCACTAGGCAGGCTGTGAAGCTGCGAAAAAAACCACTTGAAAGCAGTGGAATGGCTGAGCTCTTTTTCACTGGAAGGCTTTGTTTGGCTTTGCTGAGCTGCTTATGCCGAGGCGCCACGTTTCTTAGGCATTTACGAAAGGCTCCACGTTTAGGAACAGTATATAAGTATACTTTTTTGCCCTAAGGCCATTGCCATTGTGTGTCAATGTGTGTTATGACAGCTGCAGTGGAGCTGTATTACGAAGCACATCAGTGTGTCGATCTGGGTGTCTAGCTCAACCAGTATCTCGACCGAACCCCAGAGTCTCCGGCTCTCGGAAGGTTCGGTGAAGGGACATCGACCAGGAAAGACTTAGGCGAGATCTTGGGGCGTCGAACATCCGGGCGTCGAACCTCACACACCGAGCGCGGTGCGGCCGAGGGTTCCCATCCGTTTGGGGCTGTTCAGAGCCGGGAGGCAGACCATCGCCGACGACGGAGGGCTGTACCCGGTGCGTTCCACGTCCCGTTTCCAGCGGTTGGAAGCGTTGCCACCCATCAATGGTGAGGAGCGATGGGATAGCGGCGGATAGCGGTTTCGGGCTCAGGCTTTGTGAATTTCTCACTCCGTTTGAATGATTGGAGTCGCTTTGCCTGAGGCGCTCCCAACGATGTGCATTATTTGGAAACTGAGGCCTGCGCATGGTTAAGCTTAGAAACTGGCCCCGGGTTCAGAAAGACAGGGTTCAGAAACTACGGTTCAGCATCTTGTCTTGTCGGGTTCAGAAACTACTTCTGGCGGGTTCAGAAGCCACATGGTCAACTTGCGATTTTCAAGGGTAGTTTGTTTTTAAAGCTCCAGGTCGTTGCATAGGACATCCGACGCGTTTGATTGACGATGCTCGAAACAGGAACTCTGGAGAAGGTGGGATTATTACGCAGCATAATATGCGCATCATTTAATGTTCTTAAGTGCTTCACATCCTGAACGGTGTTTGTCACCGTTCATGTGCCTGCTTTGCTTTAGCTTTAGCCATTCCATCATTCCACCCAAGTGCAAGATTTTTGATATGCAACCGAGTTTGTGTGATCGATGTAACTCCTGGTGTTGTTGCAGACTACATCGTGATAGCAGTTTTCGCCGCTTTTCGTCAGACTCTGCAGACTCCTTTGTGGTCAGCGGTGCAACCAACCGCTGAGCGGGTCACGCGGTTCACGCTTGCGACGACGAGCGACCAGCGCCACGACGTGGGCGACGCGTGGGTTGTGGGGCTGTTTCGATTGCGCCGGTCTTCACTCGGTGCACGAAAAGCACCGAACGTGAATGGAGGCAAAGCACGGGGGGGTACGTTGGCTTTCTCTGTTGCCTCTTTTCAATTCCTCAGCTTTTTCTTCCTTTCTCCGCGAAGAAGGAAGCAAGGAAACCAGCAATGCTAAGGACGCAAGGAAGCATGAAAGGAAGTGAGAGAGCACGGAAGCAATTGAAGCCCTTTGTGTGCCCTGAGCTTGGTAGTTCCCCCCATTTCACAAGTTTTCGACTGGGGGCTGGTGCGGCTTCGCCGTGCCTGACACACCGCTTGGGCGGGGGGTGTTCGGACCTGCCGGGCTCCTGCCGTTCCGCCCATGTGTTGCGTACAATGAACGGGTGTTGTTGGGGGTGTTGGTTTGAGTGTATTCGTTGGAGAGCCAGGTGAAGCTAGCATATTTCTTCCCACTGACAGTTGGAGGCTACTGGGGAGGTTATATGAGTTATATGATATGTGTGCACCTTTGAACCAGTCTGTGGGTGGTGTGCTCGCCTTTGAGCTGTTCTTTCTTAGTGTCCAAAAGAAGACGCGAACTGGGGAAACAGTTCCGGGTTTTTTTCTCAAAGCTTGTGGTGTGTTCTGCGATGATTTACTCCCAGGCCCACTATTGGAGAAGGTTTCTGTGTGGTGACGGGAACTGCGTGACAAATTCATCTGGATACTGTAAATACACCTATTGCATCCTATTGCACCTTGATGCTTGTCTACATGTGGGTGCTCAAATCTCAAGCTTTGCTTCCTTCTCAAGAGTGCGCGATCAGGCTGAGGTGTCCCACTTTTTGCATGGGTTTCAGTCACAACAACTGGCAGGTTCTCCAACAGCTCGCAGTGATCATGCGGCCATGATGGCATCGATGGAATGTGGATAGTTGGAATTCAAGGTCTGGATGCATTTAGCAAAACTACCCTTCTGAAGATGTCATCCCCTTCATTTTTCCTGAGGGGTTGATCCGTGTGCTGTTGGTGCTGGCCCAAGTTCAGCAGATAGCTTTGCAAATGGCACATTGCTTACTTGTTCTGTTGGTCTGTTTTATCTTCGCTTGCCGCTTGCAAGTGTGGCCCAGGCTGAAGGAGGTCTCCTCCGGAGAGGGATCCAAAGCCGCGGTGTGCTCCGCTAGGTTGTGGCAACTTACTTGATAATCTCATACACTTGCAATCTCCCTGCAAAATCACTTGCCCATTGCACTGATTCGCAGCTGAGGTGAGATGGAGCGCAAATTGGATTATGGCCGTCCCAACAACTGCGCCGTTCTCAGGGCAAGTGTTGATCACGGTGACAATGAAGTACTTGCACGTGACGCTGACTGTATGCACTCTGCACTCTGGTGAAGTGACTGAAAGTAGATTCTCCAATGGCCATGCCTTGCAGCCCTTGCATCAAAGTGCTTCCACTCAACAGGCATGAGCAATTTCCGCTACATGCCGTTCCTTAGCACCCGGACAACCATTGACACATGATCTCAAAATACCAAGCAAACTGCAAAGCCGCTTTGCGCGCTCTCATGGGTCATGGAGTCATGGAAGTCTTTCGAATCTTTAGAGACCGCCACGGTCAAAGCTGTCTTTGGATGAAGCACCAAAGAAGAGCTTTGATGTTTCCAGCTTGATGCGACTGTCCTTGGCATAGCTTTTCTCCAGCCTTCTTTGGATTCAGACACTACGGTGAATGGACTGCATTTCAGTTCTCCAGCCTCTTCGGAGTCCAAGTTCTGCCAGATATTCATGTCTTCCACTTGGAAGACATGAAGCATACCTTTCATATCCATGAGCCCGACCAAAACACCGCCCCAGCTTTCCTCAGGTGCGCTTTCTTGCCCAGATGTCAAGTTTCCAGCGTGTTGGAACAGCATATCTGAATTAGATACCACCAAAGGACTGCAAAGTGCTTGCGTGACAAAGCACGTAGCACCTACCCAAAAGGAGAAGGAAACACTGAAGGACAGGATATTTTCAGCTGAAAAAATGATCAGATGACATTGGATGGCTGAATAGCCCATCTCCACGGCAGTTGTTTTCTTTGGGGCAGATCTGCCATGTCTGTTCCACGGTCCAAGCTCAATGGATGCAACACCGGGAGCCGCATTATGGGAACTTTTTTGGTGCTCTTCAGCGCTGAATAGCTTTTTCAGTGAAGACACATGTGTGCACGAAGCTCCAAAAGCTGTTTCCTTCAACTGTACTGATGTTGGTGTGCCTAATCAAATCCCCATGCTCAACGAATGTCTGTGACAGCAAATATGATGCACTCCACAATCAATCACCAGCAGCCGGTTTGGAGTTTTTGCTGTCTTGTACTTTAAGCAGTTATTTGCAATATTTCCATTCAACTGGAGATTTACTAAGATCTGAATCATTTTTGTCCCAGCGACTGAATAGATATCTAAGATTTGAGCCAAGAAAGCTTGTACCCTCACTCTCAATTTGCTGAGACCTGCCCTGAACACAAAATCTGCAGCTACCACACGTACGTACTCATTCTCAAAGACGCTTCCCTGCCAGGTTGTTTCCAGCTACCCCGGGTATCTCTGCTAGTTGAACTCTTTCCCGAATACCTTGTATTTTTGTGGTATTGACTACAGTTGCTAGCTTTGGCTTCACAGTAGCATCGATTGGGAAGCCGATCCTGAAGGGTTTGCCGTCACCGACTTGAACCGTGGGGGAGAGGAACGCTTGTATTCCTGTACCCACCTACCTGCTGTCAATTCTGGAGCCCTTTGATTTGCTATGTTTGGGCATGTTCTTGTTGTAGTATGTACAATGTACTATCATGCATGAATAGAAGGATTTTGCATGCTTGATGGCAATGATGAACTGGAGCAATGTTTTTTGAGGCGAGTCCACTGGCGTCAAGGTGCCCGTGGTCATTTCCAACGTTTTCAGGTTGTGTTTTCGTCCCAGGTGTGGTTGAAGCAGACCCAGCAGTGAGAGCGGTGAGTGCGCCCACACTGCGGGTGGCTTGTGCGTCTCTCTTCCGTTCAGTGAAGTGAAAGGCAGCTGAGCAGAAAACGACAGCGATCGGAAGATCCGACCGGTTGCGTTGACAGTCGACCCTGTTGGAACTCGGACCATTGGACCTGAAGGGCCAACGCCTTTTCAAAGCATATTGGGGGCTTCTCCTTTCAATCGATGGATGCTTTTCTAAGAAAACATGTTCCAACCACACTATATGTTGGAGTTTTAGCTATTATATGTTATTACGGTTTGCTTGCCCATGCATGGGGCCTCTGACCTAGGGTTGCAACCTGTCAAAGCCACGCGCCCTCCGTGGCCTGTGGCTGTAGCAGAAAGCCAAAAGAGAGTCTTCCATTATCGTCCTCAGGCGGTTGAGGAACCGAGAGCCGACCAAGAGCCGACCGTTCGCGTTAGCATGCCATCCTTACCGTGACATGCTTTTGGGCTCCAAGACGGTGAGTGAGTGTATATATTTTGACCAAGCATGTCATGTCTTGTGTCATCTGCCGCGTGGTGCGAGTAGCTGCGCTTCTTCAGGCATGCCTTGCCCGCACCTGCTTCAGGGCCCCCGCCAGTGTCGATGGCTGGTATGGAATTCAATGGCGTGAGTATCCCTTCGTTGGTACGGGCAGCTATTTCGACTCCATATCCTTTACCGCCATGACCTGCACTATGGGAGTCTACGTGAACTGGATCGAGTATCCCAACAGTGGTTGGGATTCGCCCAAAGATGAACATGGAGCAAGTCCCGGATGCAGCGGCCAGGTTTCCCCAAACCAAAACAGCACCATCACCTGCGGCAAAACAGGTCTTCACTACACCGTTCATCCCGCCGTTTGGGGGGAGTGCAGCCGAGCAGAGATTTGCGATGTGCAAGGCGTGTCGCATCTTCAATTGATAACAGGCACTCAAGTGGACTATGATTGGAGTCCCGGGGAGTGGACCACTTGCTCTGAAACATGTGGCCCTGGCACCAAGACCCGCAGCGTCTCGTGCTCGCCGGACCCTGGATATTGCAATCAAAACGACAAGCCCTCGACGACAGATGATTGCAACCTCGCAAGCTGCCAGTGGGAAATCCAACGCTGGGGTGCGTGTTCGCATCTCTGTGGGGGTGGTGAGCGGAACAGAGTTGTCACATGTCCACGAGATGATTCTTACTGCACTGAAAGCAAGCCAGCTACCACAGAGGCCTGCAATGAACAGAACTGCTCCGCCACAACGGAGGCTTTTGCTGGTGAAGCTGATGATCCGAGTTCAGCAACCTGGCTGGTAAGCTGCGTTGCGCTGATTTGTTCTGTGCAAGCAGTTTGTGGTTTTCAGCTTACATGTGATGATGATGCTGTGTTTGGCTGCTCAAGCCAAGTAGCGTGCGTGTTCTTGAGCTTCTTGCTGTCACCGTCCTTGCGCTGTGAACTGTTGAGCACACACAGAGTATATAATAGGTCAAGTGCCGAATCTGTCAATGCATGTCAATGCGGTTTTGACCTCTGTTGTGTTCTGGGAGGAATTTGGAGGAGCTTTATGTCGAATCGATCGAACATGGCATGACGGGCTAGCGGCTTAGCTGCTCGCCATTGACAACTTAGGACCTAGGCAAGATGCAGGCATGTCAGGGCGATCACCCCAGAAATCCGCATGTACTGTGGCCGCTTCGTTGGACGATCGATGACGGCGCATGGATGATCCCCTGCGTGAAATTCTGGGTTCAGCATTTTGTTAGCGGGGTACACACACACACACTCGGGATATTGAGTATGGGATTGACTGCCTCATGCCACACGGGAACCTAGGTAAAAGCAGGTCTGAGTAAAGCATATAAGGGGGTCTGACAATCCTATAATCCTGAAGGCGTCAAGTTGAACAGTTCCAAAGGTTGCAAATTGAAAGGTCAACTCCAAAGGCTCAATCCAAAAGTTCGAGTCGAACGAGACACGAAGCGGCGAACTCGTGACTGCAGTGAAGGAACGGCTGCGATGGCCAGAAAATTGTTCCAAATAGAAAGGGGGCCAAGTCACGGAAGTGTTCAGGTAAGACAGCAGGTACGCCGAGTTGCATGATTGTGGTATCTTCGCTGCTCAACAAAAAACAAGAAACACCAAAAGGTGACCTCTGAATCCAAGGTGTTCACCTACAAACATGCCCCCCGCTCGAAGCAGTCAAGAAGCTTTTTACGTTGTCAAAGCTAAGGTGCCGGCATGGGAGTGAGACAGAGTCAAGAGAAGGTATGGCGTTGACTCTGGTTTGGGTAGGCGGTGAGAGGGATCCGACCTTGGGCGATGGCGTCATGAAGAAGCGGAGGGCCGGGAAGAGGCCCACCAATGGCATTGCGCTGAGGGTATTCATCACAGCCAAGGGGACGGAGTTGCATGGTGAGGTTTCGAGACAGAGAAGATGTTCCGCTTCCCAGACGCGAGAGTCACCGTTGGTGGGGAGAGCCATCCAGAAGTGTGAGTCTTCGGAATGCGTGTGCGGGAGTGACATCGAGGTCGTCGACAGTGTACTTGCGCTGGTCCAAGTCGATAAGTCGCCAGGGTGACTTTGATGATTACAAAGGCTGATGGACCAATAGGCTACTGGCTAACGTCCAGGTCAAATCAAACTCACCTCCCAGACCGTAGCATATGTGGTGGTTCGGGCATACGTAGACCGCCATGTGTAAGCATCCTGAAGGTGGTCTGAACATCTTCAAAGTCTCAAAGGCCTCCTAGTCCAACGTCGAGAGTTCCAAGGAAAGCGACAAATGCATGTCTTCAGGGCTCAAAACCGATGCAATGCCAGTGACTAGTGACAAATGGGGCCCAGAACGAAATGATTGGTGATCAGTGCAGGTACGTCATCAGGCATGCTGATGATATTGTGAGGAGCCCCAATATGTCCTCTCCATCCCGCTGCTGAGATAAAAGACCAAAAGGTCCCTTCTGAATCCAAGGGTTTTGCACACACTGCGACTTGGAAAAATCAAAGGAAAGTATAGACAAATGGAGATTGCAATCAGAAAAGCTTACGAGACAGTTTTTTCAACAGAAATGCAGAAGAACCTTGCGCAGAACAACAAAGTACGGCCCTGTAGAGACGTCGAAAGAAGGTCCAACAATCAGAGCACTTGATTGAACAAGCCTAGATAGGTAGAGAATGGTAGAGATGTCTAGAGAAGAAACAGCCAATTGCACAGAGCTACTTCGAACGCATTTTGCCAATGTCTAGACACGTAGAGATCCCCATGAACAGAACATATCCTGGCATTGCTACTAGGAACAAGAAGCTACTAGAGGCTCCTGGCATCAGAGCCCGTGCTCTTCCTATGGGCTACTGTGCTGCGCCCAATTGCCGCCCGCTCTGTCCCAACCCATGCCACGCTAGACCTTCCTGCTGTTCGCAAACATGTGAGACGCTTCTACCCCCCCAGCGTTGCTGGAGACGATGTGCGACAAGAAACCTTATACACCTTTGTGTTCTCGTCCTGCCAAGGTACCCGACGATCTGGTTGTCCCTTTGCATCTTGGTTGCAACTGCAGATGCCTAAATGCATATGTTTTTGCCACTGCAAAGTCTTATCGCGCTGATGATTGCGTGACGTTACACGGATTGACCGCATGCTGTCAGATTGACTCCTATCGGAAGCGGAATTTTTGGCATTTTCCTGGGTGCCTGCGCCGCCTATTTTTGCTGCCGCAAAAAGGACCAGCTTCGAGTCTAGTGGCAAGGTTGGGAAGGGATGCTGCATTTAATTGGCTTGTCTGTGAGTCCAGCAAGGAACTATTTTGATCATACGTGCGCAGGCAGTATGTCTACCTTTTGCGCACGTGTTTCGACGCAACTCTCGACGTCAACTCTCATACAACCCCCAAAAGGCTTCCGAAACCTCTCGGGAACTTCAGTGCTGGGGGCCAGATGCTGACGCAAGGCTGGTCAGTTCATTCATGTTCCGGCTCATTTGTAGCGACAAACTTTTTAGTGTCAATTTGTTAGGGCAATCCATTTTCCTGCAACTTATCGACGTGTATGACATTCAGTGCAGGACGGGCCAAAGCCCAACCGCACCTGGCTGCTTGATTGCAGGTCAGCTCCAGCTTGATTGTCCGAGTTCTCCTAGATCAATTTTCCCATTGGTTCAGAAAAAGGTTTTCACCCAAAACAACACGCATGCTACATGAGTCCAATTGAATGGGTGAAATATTTTTTCAGGCACATGCAGGCAAAACCTAAAATGTTTGCATAAAATGGTGGTCTGAAGAGCATTCTGTAACAGCTGGTTGCTCATCAAGAAGCAAAAGAAAGTGTGCCGCCGTGAGGCCTGTTTTTTGGTTTTCCATAAACCTTAGATTGAATTTTCAAGTGGCAGCCCACCCTCCATATCTGGTACTGCAAACAGGAAGGCTTGCTGAACATTATGTAGTTTTTTGGCTTTGGATTTTGGTAATCTTTAAAGGAAAGAACGCCTATAGATATGGATAGAGAAATTGATGACACGTATGTAATATAAACATGTATGCAGTGTAACATACTACAAAAAACGGAACAAGACACAGAGTTTTTGACTGTAAATACCAATGCAAACAGTATGTCGGGGGGTCGTGGCGGGGGGTGACCAGCCCCCAAGGACCCACAGAAGGCAACAAACAGGTTTCATTTCAAAAGCTTTCGTCCAGATACAACACAAATTATGTTCCTACAGCCTATAGGCCCTATAGGAAACCCTTTACCTTTGAGCCCACGGTCAATGATCTCTGAGAATAGATATTTGTGGAAAAATTGAAGTGAACATATAGGATCCTATTTATATTTACATTACAACGTACTTGGAACCTGTGGGAAGCAGGTTTTGTTTCCTTAATACATTTCACTAGCCAAAATGCCATGCCATTTTGGCTTGCCTGCCATGGCTGGCTCTGGTTCCGGGGAATTCTTTGTTTGGTCCATTTTGGATGGACGAAGACCTAGGAAGACCTGCCTAGTTAAAGTACGTGCTGTGTGTGCACCTAACTCCAATGAGTCTTGAACAAGCTTCGGCCGCTGCGGCCACGTACGCCGTGGCAAAATGGCTGGCTGCTTAGACCGCTGCGGTCACGTAAGGGCATGAGCCAGCTTGGAATTCCAAAAAGAAGAAAAAATCTGAGTTCTCTCGGCCTAGGCCACCTACGCCCGCTCTGGGCACGTACATCTCCGGGCAGGGGAGATAACGACTATCGCCCGCTCGACGGGTCCAAAGGGGCCACTTTTCGGTGTCACCCTGGGCTCTCACTAGGAGAGACACACTTATAGAAACGCGTACTGAACTGAAAGCGGTTGCCACACGCCAGCCTAAGAAACCAAATCCTGAAAAACCAGGCGAGGGGGCCTGAGCGCCTGTAGCTAGAGGCCAAAGTTCCAACTCCAACGATACGACGAACAGGTCGAAATGACGGCGGCCGCTCACATCTGCAGAGTGCGTTAGACCTTTACGAAAATTGGAGTGACAGCTTGTGAGTGCAAAAGTTCAAACCGTCGCAGGTACGTCACGGTGATCAGCCGTGATATCCTAGTCAACTGCATGGAGCTTCGTTGGCGACAGCCATGCAGCGCACACACACACTGGGAAATCAATTGGGAGCGTGGAGCGATAGGATGATGGCAAAGCCCAGAACCTCCTAAGTAGGTGTCCTTGAAGCTCGGAAAGACAGGAAAAAGGTGAGTTGGCGAGACCGTCGATCATGTCGGTCATGCAGTATGTTTGAAGCCACTCGTCAAGAAAGCAACAAGAGAATGGCTGATTTCAACCGTCGTCCTGATGTAGAACAACGCGCAGCGGTTCCAACAATAAGGCAAACCATCGTTGAGAACTTTTGGAAAAGGCAGGTGCACAGTTGATCAGTCTGTGCATCCACCGAACAAGCGTAGCTTTGTTAGCCAGCGTTTGCTTGTCGGCCGCTGGCCCCCTGCTCTCGAAATTGTCAATTCAGAAAGGTCAACATCCGCATGTTAGAGCGGTTTACACACGCATACGATCCCCGCAATTTCACCTCACGTTGAAGCGCTCAACACGCACGATCCCGCAAAAAGGGTTCATCGAGCAAGCCGGAATTCGCACTTCACCTCGCGCTTGAGCATCCGACACGCACGATTCAGCAGACTGCAAACGCTGGTCGGCCAGGCCGCCGGCTAAGAAAAAATAGTTTGAAGTTTGAACGAGCCAGATATGTTATACTCCTGAGGCATGGAGACCCCAAATGAAAATTATGCGAGATATTTGGCAGGTGTGTTTCCTGAAGCAAGACCCCAGCAAAAGTTACATCAAATATTGGCAACCCCCAGGGACAGCGCGCCGCTAATACCAAGCTAGTCAGCAACACCCAGCAACGCAAAATTGACAACGATGGATGTTTTTGATCTCCGTTGCAGCATCTTAGAAGATTGTTTGGGAGTTGGTTCTTGGCCTGCCTTGTATTTCAAGTTGTATCAGTCTTGAGCCAAGGCTTGATGATGACCATATCCCCAACGAGCGCTTCCCTTACGGCAACGGATCCAAAGTGGCCATGTTCTCCGCTAGGTTTGACGGTGGCAACTTGCTTCAAAACCTACTGGATATGCAATGCGTATAACTTGTCCAAATGCATTGAGTTGAAAAGAAACTGAGGTGAGACAGAACGCAAATTTCGAGATGTGCATCGTATATTGCAACAATATGAGTACGATGTTCTCATGGTGAGTTCTGATCACGGTGACGACTCTGGAGTGCTGACGAGGAAATACTTGCATCGGCTGAAACAAGAGGATGGAGTTATGTTGGCCGTATGCACTCCGCACTATGGTGAAGTGACTGCTTCGAAGTTCTCCAGCAACTTTGAGCTTGGATATGCCATGGATAATTGCATCAAAGTGCTGCCACTCCAAACGCATGACCAATTTCCACCGCGTCCGCCGGCCGGACCTGAGCATGCGTTTGACAAAGACAGAATTGCACAAGGTTACATCAGTGCCGTGTTCATGGCCAGTGTTGCGCGACTAGATTGCCTAGATTGCCGGAGCATCTCCGATGAAGAAATCGCTTTGCACATCGCCACGTGCTTGCAGACCGAAGGAGATGGCTTTGTGACTTTGAGGTTCAACGGGATGCGTACTCCGCCTCAACCGCCTGCTGATTTCAGTGTCGCTCCGCCTCAACCACTGCCTGCTGAGCTGTTCAGAGCCCCTAGCAAAGTTGGATGTGAGCGCGCATAGATTCTTGCGCTGAAGGTCTTTGGATGCAGCGTGCCCAAAGCAGGCATTGCTTACAAGCTTTTCCAGCCAGTTGCAAAGCAACTTGCACTCTGTGAAGCTCAACACGCTTCATTGTTGTTGAAGACGCCAACTGCCAGTTGCGCAGCAACTTGCGCTCTGTGAAGTTGAAGACGCCAACCATACGCGCAATATGCGCGTGCTTAGTCAGATTCTTTGCAGCTGTGAGGAGTTGTTTCTTGAATTATTCCAGCAGTTGCAGAGGGGGCCACGCACTGGCCTACGCGCGCCCCAAAGATAGGCAATGTGAAGGCAGCGAGAAGAAACATCCTGCACTGATCTTATCGGATTTGTTGCAATCATATGCAGTATTAGTGTGATCTTTCTTCCACATGTCACGCAGGTCATTTTATACGCTAGTAAGTTTTTGTACGTCAAGATCCAGGCCTCCTCATTTTATAGGGTCAATATGTGTGCGTAGGCATTCCATAGAAAATGCCTAGCGTGCCATTATATGGGCCTTACGTCCCTAGTCCCCTCACTTTATAGACACCATTCCCCTATAGAACGCCTGGATATACACACAACCCATCATTGGTGGATGCAGTTGAAATGTATATATATATATACATGTACATATACATATAACAAGCATTTTCATGTGGAGCCTGGCAATCCAGAGAAACTGTACACACTTGTTGCTCTATTTATTTTCTCTTTCCACGCTTGAAAACTAACTACGTGTTGTGCCTGCGTGCCCACTGTTTTCTTCCCGCGCTGCAATATTTTTTCGCCCCGCACGCTGGTTTCTTGGCTTTTCAGGAAACAATGTGACAGGCGCTCCAACCGGAGATGGGTTGCTTCAGACTGCGGCTGTGACCACGGTGGTCGTGGTCCCACGATCGCTTACAGTCATGTCTCTTGGATGAAAGATGCTGTTCTTCAATGGTGTTTAAAGGACAATATTATTGGAACGGTGGTGCCGAAGTTCATATTCACATTTGCATTCTTTGTCGCCGGCATTTTTGACGATTCAGTTTCAATGACTGCGCTCGAGAACATGTTTTCTCAGAAGTTTTTGTTTGACCAAACCGTGTGGTCACACTGTAGGGGTTCTTACGGTAAGTGTTGAGGCCGGGTCTCTGGTCGAGGTGCTCCGTCGGGGCGCTTGGCAAAATCGCTACTATTTACTGTGCATTCATTCACCTGGAAGTCTTCGAAGTCTATTTCGACTGCGCGGGCTCACAGAAACTGGTGGGCCTGAGCTGGTGCAGCTTTCCTCGACTACGGTCTCGTTGTGGCGCCGTGCGCATTTTTGGACTTGGTGATCACTTTTCGTGGCCAGCGCGGGCAACCTTGTGATTTGGTGGTCCAAAGTCGACTGTGCCTGCCACGAAATGGTTCACAAAATAGTGCGCCTGCCACGAGCTTCGAGTTTCACAAAGAACTGCTTTGCCCAAACATGTGCACTTCGTTTGTGTGAAGGTTCACAAAAGACGGCGCCTGCCACGAAATCTGCGCATCAAGATTTAATCGTCGTGCAGTCCTGCCAAGGCGTTTTGCAGCAAGAGCCTCCAAAGACAACATCAAGACGCCACCATGCAGTTTTCGCTGCAGACTTCCCCGACTTCTGAAAACAAACCACATGTCAAAAGGTCACGTTTCACTGCAACTTCCACAAAATCAGCGCACGCCGAAGAGCAATGCTATGTTGCACTGCACCTGCCACGAAATCTGCACATCGAAGCAAAGCCGGTCCAATCTCCCTTCGCATGTACAGCGCTTTGTGAACCTGGACGTGCAGTTTTCGTAGCAGTGCCGTTTTGTGAGGTTGAAGTGCAGATTTCATGGCAAATGTGCGGGCCTCCAGATCTGTAGTGTCTAGAACTCTGGACCTACACTTGACTACATGTGAGGCCTCACAGAGCTCTTGATATTTCTAGATCTCAAGACATCTCTCTCAATGAACAGATTGTCGTAGAGCCCTCTCACTGAGCCGTTTCAGCTTCGTGAAAATGGTGGGACCAACAACCAGGATCTAATGGCCTAATTGTTACTGGGGAACGCCCTTCGTCATTGTGATGCCGTCGGCCATGCTCAATCCTACGATGGGGGTGAGATGCATCTGACTTTTGGGTTTGCACCTTCAGCAACGGCCATGTGGACAAACTTTGACATAGAGGGCGGCGCATCTTTTTCATTCGTTTTCCTTTGCCGGATTCTCCCACAGTGTAAGATTGATGAGTTTGTTCAACCTGGACGTGTTTGGAGTTTCTGCCACTCTGGCTAGGACGTCCTAGCGGTCCTAGCACCCTTTGCCCTAGCACCTTGTGCTCACTGGAGGTTCTGCTTCTCAGCAATTCTGTTCTTTTAGTGCGCTGGGACGGGCGTTGCCCCATTCGCCCGGCGCTCTTGGCTCTGAGAGAGGACCGATTTGCGACGTTTTCTTTTCCAGTAATGAGTTGGAGGTGGTGCTGATTCAACTCCTAAAACTTTGCCATGCAATCTGCAAAGCTTTAGAGGCCTCTCGTGCGCAAAAGGCCAATTTGCCTTCTTTCGACCATATACAGGACAAGGCAGCCGTTTGAAGTCTTGTTCGCCGTGTCAACCAATTTCTGTGACGGTGGGAAGTTCCCGTTCACGCCGGACTTTGGGATCTTTGGAACTCCCAACATGGTTCCCACACATGGCCAATGAGTCGCTCACTACCAGAAAAGTCCAGAAAAAGCGGAACTCGGAACCCACTGGCTGGGAGCTCTTTGGTGTACAAGGTTAACGAACTTCCTGTTAACGTCCGAGACATCTCAGCCTGCTTTGATACAAGACGTAAGTCCGAGTGAAAAAGTGATTTGACTCCTGTGGCTGGGCTCGGCCAGGTGTCTGTCACTGGCTCGTCCATGAGACTGCGCGCCGTGGCAGGTGGCGCCAGAAGGAAGGTGCGACAGTGCGACCCTGAAGAAAGCTTAAACTTTAAACAACTAGAGGAGCCCAACAGACTCATGTATTTTGTGTTTTTCAGTCGAGCGGAACTCACGCTGACGAAGGGTTATATGTATATATATAGTCATAATGACCACAACCCTGCAGAGACGCATTACAAGATGCAGCAATCTGACAGAGTGAAAAGATGCGTTTGCTTGAGCTTAAGAGTTTGAAGCGATGACATGAATTGCAGAGTGGAGGTGTGTGGAAGGACTATGGTTTTGTCAGAAAGAGACAGAGAGTTTGAAGTTTGAAGTCAAGTGAGTCGACTCAAATCCTTTCCATCCGATCCTTGAAGTTGCGACCAATGCCGCAGCTCTTTGGGAGCTTCAAAACGCCGGAGCATCGGTCATCGCCCGCGCCGACGCTTGCTGCGGCTTGCCCATGGCCGCCAATCCGATTCTGTGGTTCCAAAAACAAAGGGTCCATGCTCCTATCGTGCGACAACCAGTAGCAAAGCTTCTACCTACCGTCAAGCAGATTGAAAGAATGAGAAAGACAGAGAAGGAGGCACGAAACCAGTATTTTCTGGCAGTTTACATTGTGATTCTAGCCGTAACCACACTGCTTGGGACGGCTGTCATGGTCGTCGGACCGAAATGTCGGCAGTGGTGGCGATCCTGCTGGCGATCGCATATGTATGAACGACTTAGAGTGAGTTTTCGGGAAAGCCGCCGCGAGGTTTATTCGAGGGTGAGCCCCGAGGACGAAGGAGACGACCAAGGTGACGAGGAGTGTCCTGAGAGTTGTGAACGCGCCGTGCATGTGACAACGCAGCGGCTTTGGACCGCTGGGGCCTTTGCATGCACCGCAATCGCCTGCACAGCCACCTGCATTTACTCTTTGCAGTCCGACCGGCTAGACAAGAATAGCGGCCTGGACTGGGAGCTGTACGTGGGTCTCATGCTTGGAGGCAGGTTTCAGAATTTCAGGTTTTTCCTCCTTGGCTTTTCTAGAGCTTTTATACAGTACTGTTTTCCAAGCAGCCAAGCAGGGCACAGGAGGTAATTAATGATGTTCGTGCAAACTAATTGTGTTTTTCAAACCACGTTGCTTCACACCTTGGGGTCGCGACGAGTAGTCACAGTCATTCACTTCCGTGGGACACTTCGGTAATGTCACAATTATTACAACTCACACTCCCGTAGTTAAGAGACCCTAGTACGTGTCACACTGAAGCGAGAGTCCACTTTGGGAAACATCGTTTGGGGTCAGAGCAAGGTGCGCATGCCCACACACACACACACTTAGAACGTTGCTCGCAAGAGCTGGATCAGTTAACGAAGTTCCCCTTTAGTGCAAATAGACCTTGACTCAAAAAGGCAGAACGGAAAGGCGATGGAATCCGGAAATTTGGAGATGTTTCAACATTGTTTTCATCTTGCATTAGCACTTTAGAGCTTGTTTAAAAATTAAATTGGAAAAATGCAGGCACGTTTTCACCCAGGTGGGGGGTGTCTTCATTGGCCGGCCCCCTGCTGTTAACATTTGTTTTAACTAATTTACAATGTGTGCAGCCTTAGAAACAGGCTTTGAGACACACACTTAGGATAGGGTGTACTGAACTGACGGTGCCCCACGCTGGCCTAGGGTTCCAATTCCTAAGAGTACCAGTAAGGACCGTCGGAGCCTGGAGGTCTTCAAGAGGAAAGGGGGCCAAACTCGCAAGTCGAAAACGAAACGACAGGGTGACGGCGTAGCGTGCAAGTCTGCGGAGGTCAACTCAGCAAATGTTAAAAATCAAGCAGGTACACAATGCGGCGTCCCGCATTGCTTCACCACGAACTGACAGCGTCTTCGTTGGGCAATGTCTGTCAGTCGTGCATTGCCCCCTGCTGTATAGCATAAAGATCTAAAAGCAAAACAAATCCGAAAGGATCCCTATGAGTCCAAGGGTTACACACACACACGCCTCCCCGAGGGGAGGCAAAACTAAGGCTAGGACGAATGTGTAAATGTGCGCGCAGAAAGGACAGAAGGATGAAGACATGAAAAGGAAGACAGACAGGACAAAAGTGTGAGTGGTGGCAATGAAAGGGAAACCAAGTGCACAGGGACAACCGATGAGCCCACCGCATTGTCGAGACCTGGGCGACCTAACACCTGAGTTGAAGGTAGTTGTGCGCGTACACACTAAGGCCCGGACCATTGTACGCGCAAAAGAACGAAAGGAGTGAGATGAACGGACATGAAGCAAGGGAAGACATGAAAAGAAAGAGGAAAAGAAGTGTGTGAAGGGGAAAAGGTGAAAGGGGAACCAAATGGAGGGGACGGGAACCGATGAAACCAAACCTCATTATACAACCTAGGAAGACCTGCCTCGTTGAAGTGTGTACGATGTATGTGCACCTAAGTCTCCAACAGGTTCCAATGAACCATGAACAAACTTCGGCCGCTGCGGCCACGTACGCCGTGCCAAAATGGCTGGCTGCTTGGACCGCTGCGGTCACGTGAAGGCATGAGCCAACTTGGAATTCCAAAGATGAGACGAAAATCATCGTATGTACGGCCTCGGCCACCTACGCTCGCTTCGAGCTGCTCTGTATCCGGGCAGTGGATACGTTCGACGTACCCCCGTTCAACGGGTCCACGGGAGGCACTCTGCGGGCTCATCCCGGGTTGGCACAAGGCCAAACACACTTAGGATAGGGTGTACTGAACTGACGGTGCCACACGCCGGCCTAGGGTTCCAATTCCTGAGAGTACCAGTAAGGACCGTCGGAGCCTGGAGGTCTTCAAGAGGAAAGGGGGCCAAACTCGCAAGTCGAAAACGAAACGACAGGATGACGGCGTAGCGTGCAAGTCTGCGGAGGCCAACTCAGCAAATGTTAAAAATCAAGCAGGCACACAATGCGGCGTCCCGCATTGCTTCACCACGAACTGACAGCGTCTTCGTTGGGCAATGTCTGTCAGTCGTGCATTGCCCCCCTGCTGTATAGCGTAAAGATCTAAAAGCAAAACAAATCCGAAAGGATCCCTATGAGTCCAAGGGTTACACACACACCACGCCGATATCGGCGCTCAAGTGAGGTACTAGCCACCTAACAAGCCTTAGAAAGACAGACATAGAAAAACAAAAAGAGCAAGCGAGGGCAAGAGAGACAAGTAGGAGTAGTTACGAGGCCCACTTGTTATGAAACCTTCTAGTTTCTGAATACTTAGCCCTTGACTGGGGCAGGAAAACGAGCCTCAAGAACCACCCTAAAAGCCTGAAAGAAAGCCAAGAAACGACGAAAAACGTAAGAAAGAAAGCGGGCAGGGAGGGGGTGTATGTCCATGTGTGTGTCTGAATAGCTCTGCTTCCAGCACAAGTGGATAGCTTCGTTGGGTGCAGCCTCCACTGTGCTCTGCACCCCCCTGCGGAAAAAAACGGTTTCAGACAACAAAACAACAATCCAAGAGGATCCTTGTGACTCCAAAGGTTACACACACATACACACAGGTAGCCGGCAATTCGGCGCACACTGAGACTTCTATTTTGCAATATCACCTTCGACGCTCCGCAATGTCATGTCCCTTATGGACATACAGTGAGATCAGATCATCAACAGTGGCTTGGATCGCCGCTGCAGGAAAGCTGTAGGCTCTGATAGCGTGTAATCGTGAGGCAAGCCCTGAGAAGCGCAGTCGAACTGAGCCTGCTGAAGCGTTATCTCTGATCTTCCAAGCGGAAGAGGGTTGGATTCGATGTAGGTGATGGTGCAGTTGTCGATGTCGATGTCGAAGCCCAAGAGGTGGAAATCGTCAACGGGTTCAAGCTTGACGGGGTTGCCAAAGAAATCAGGGTGAATAAGATTTTGGATGGCAGTGGAAGTGCGCGTTCAAGGCAATGAAGCGGTTGTCGACATACCTGCAGTAAGTGAAATAGAGCTGGGTGAACGCTCGATGAGCGTGATAAGTGCAGGAGACAGCTGGGAGCCGCTACCAGCGCCTCTCCCAGTTTTGCTTGAAAGTGGTGTTGCACACTCGGAAAATGCAAGTGGAGCGCGTGTGAAATAATGGCAACGACATCAAGAGTGTCAATTGTGCGTTGTCAATTGTGCGTTGAGTGGGGTGTCCGCGGTGGTGCCGGCCAATGTGAGTGTTGCGCAGCCAGTACCCAGCACCGGCACCGCCGCCGCACGCACAGCCAAGCCCACAGCACCAGCGCCAGCACTGGCGCCTGGCGCCCAACACTGGCACCGTGTCTCCACCACGCGCGCAGCCAGTGCCCAGCACCAGCACCGGTGCCCTGTCTCCACCACGTGCGCAGCCAGCTCAAGCCGGCGCCCAGCGCCGGCACCCTGTCTCCACCACGCGCGCAGCCAGAGCCAGCACGCAGGACAGGGGCCGGCGCCCTGTCTCCACCACGTGCACAGCCTCACAGCACCAACACGGACGGGCAACCTGTCTCGAAAGCGCGCGCAGGCAGCTCATTGCGATTTGAAGTAAGAACCCCATAGCTTCGCTATCTGGGGAAAATGGCATTTTGCACGAATCGGCTTCTTCCCTGACCTGCAACTCTTCGCTGCTTCGCTATGCGTTCAACCATGCCTGCAGGAGCACTATGTTTGCTTTCGCAAGCAGTGTTGGCGGTACTTCTGTTGCCCAAGGACCTCAGCTTCCCAGTGACCGCCTTTGCCGAATCCGCATTTGTGTACTTAATGCCCTTTGTATCGGATGGTTTTGATACTTTGAAGGACATTATTTTTTCATGTCTTTGTGTGCAATCAGACCACCTCCTCTTAAAGGGCATTGGTGTGGCTAGCTGGATTTACCTAATGGTAATCCATGGGATCTTGATCATGCAAGACAATACCCTGGCCGAATTGGCTGGGTGCTATCTCCCTGCGTTGATGGCGCTCCCTGCAGACCCCGCATCAGAAGATTCAATTAGTTCATGTTGTCCGGGCCTGTCTTGTCAGCACCTTTCTGACATGTTCTGCCAACTTCTTTATAAACAAGTAACCCCCACGAAGAGGGAGTTGCTTTTATGGGAGAATGTGCCCCAAGGGGTGGCCGCGATCTTCTTCCTCTACTTCGAGGGCGGGTCCTTGTTTGTTGGGGTGATCAACCTGGCCATCCCAGTTGGGCAGGTTCTTGCTACCTTTGTTTTTTTTAGACCGCTGCGAAATCTCGTTGCTCCACAGTTCGGAAAGAAGCTGTCCGGCTTCTTGTCCAAGCCAGACTTTTTAAGGGCACAGCTCCTGTGGGAAGAGGCTGGCATGGTGGGTGGGGGCTAGCATTGGTCGGGAGTTGGCGGTCGTGGGAGCCCCCAACAATTTTCGATCGCAATTGTAGGAATCTTCTACATTCTTTTGAACACCGATCTTCAGCAAGGCTTTGCGCTTCGAATGAACTTGGATGTGCGTTCTTGGACGTAGGTTTGTCTTATATAGATCCTTTTTTTTGAACCCACTTGATTCGTACACACTTTGACCTCTTCCTGACGTTTGTCTCTTTGCTTCTGCAGTGAAAAGTAATGTCTCGGCAGAAGATGAGGTGACATCGGACACCTTTCAAGGTCAGAAGTGCAAAATGCAGTCCAGCAACATTACATGTTATGTTTGCAGCTGGGACAAAACCACTGAAGAGTAAGAGAGAGGGCAAACATTCCCCAACCCCTGGTCGACTTTTTCATTTGTGGCTCCAACTGGCCCAACTAGCTGTTATTATTGTTTCTACTACTACTACTACTACCACCACTACTACCACTACTACCACTACTACCACTACTACCACTACTACCGCGACTACTACCACCACTACCACTACCACTACCACTACCACTACCACTACCACCACTACCACTACCACTACCACTCCCACTCCCACTACCACTACCACTACCACTACCACTACCACTACCACTACCACTACCACTACGACTACTAGTAGTAGTAGTAGTAGTACTACTACTACTACTGCTACTACTGCTACCACTACCGCATACACATTATATATAGATCTTCACTCAGCCTAAATTTCTGCCGGAGTCAGAGAATTCATACTGTAAGAAGAACGCGCCGTTTCAAGTGTTGGCAACATGTGCTATATCCATGGATTTGGAAAGACGCCATTGGGACACCAAAAGATGTCATTTCTGGCTTCTAACCATTTGCCGGTTTCCGCCATTTCGCAGCAAAAGACATTGTTTTTTGGGAAAGGACACCGAAAGGATAATTTTTCTGAAAGACAAATGTTTGTGCCGGCTTCGATGATCCAGATGTGAGCGTCCGACGAGATTTGTTCAGATTGAAGTAGTCACTAGTCACAGGCTAAACCCTGCATGAACAGGCCCATTCTGGTTATATACATTTAGTGAAAGGAGGGGTTATCCAATTCGGCAGTTGGAGGCCTTTGAAAAGGACCGGGAACTCCTTCGTGTTGCGCTGCCAACCCTGCTGCGGACACCGCGTCTGGAAGAGTTGGTGAGAGAAGTCCAGACCGAGGCCAGACTCGGGCTGTGGGCTGACCTGGAAGGATTTGTTTTTCCCACTGGGTTTGTCGAATTGCTTGAGGGTGATTGAGGTAGGTTTGTTTTGGGTAGAGATGTAACTGGCTCGGACGGAAACTGTGTGATTCTCGCTGCCAACTGCGCTGGTTGACAACTTTACTAAACCCTGGGTTCGAGACCCATTTGTTCGAAGCACGCACAGACTCAACAAATGCTATCCCACTGCCGTCGTGTCATGTTGCATCCATTTCGCTATCAGCAGCTCATGCACCTCATGCCGGCCTCTGGGCGTAGCTTGTCAGGAACTTGCTGACAGCAAGGAAGGGTTCGAGTTCATACAGGGCTTCATTGAATTCGTCGTGAAGAATGAGGGAGTCAGGACCTCAGGCAGGCGGCTTTGTGTTTGTAATTTGTCCTGCTCCTAAAGTTTATCCGTTAAATGGAATAGACGCAGTATCAAACACTTACAATTCAACCACCTTCAAAGCAGTTGAGGTGCCCGATTCAAACCAGCGCCGCCAGGGGCCTCGGAGGGTGTAGTTTTTTTGGCCTTGACAGGGCAAAGATTCAACAGGTAACAGTTCTGAGCTGCATTTGGACGCTTAATGTTTCAATCTGTGGAGCAAATATGTGTCCAAACATTTCCAGACATGCTGCTGCTGCTGCTGCTGGTCACAAAAAGCATCAAGAAACACGTTTGCCACTGCCACATAGTACGTACGCAGTAAAGCACAAGAACTGCAGATTTTTCAGCCCATGATTGAGTTGGCAGATGTGAGGCAATGAATGGCACCTGCGGGCACGTGGTAGGCATTGTGAGACTGCAATTATCTACGTTTCACTTTCGCAGGAATATAACGCTCATAGGGTTTCATCCCGAGATTTTTCCAGCCCCCCATACAAGGGCACTTCCTGGATCGGCTCCGACCCTTCAGCTCGTCCCCGAAGGTGCACCCGCTGCTCCAAGGTGATATGCTGCATGAAGAAGCACAGAAAGGCACCGTGGTAGCGGTCAAGGTGTTGCTGGCAGCGACGCCCGTTGATGCCACAGACAACGTGGGCTCGGGACCTCGGTGCCAGCGGAGATCGGCGATGGCGGTGCGTTGGATACTCTGTAGTCATCCTTTGTTTCGATGGGGGTTGACGGGTTTTGTGGGGACTGCTATATGATCCAATTGCATGCGTAAAGGCAGCATGTCAATTTCCAGTCGGTCGGGATTGTCAAAGTCATTAGTTTGACATACTGTTGCGAAGTTTGTGGGGTTTGATCTATTCAGGTTTGAGCTGCTTGTTGCTTGAACCCGTATTTCTGCGGTCTATCAGCCCAGGATTGCTAGGGATTTGGCCAATTCTCTTTCAAGTGCTTCCATGCCATGTCCA